AGGAGGGGGAAGGAAAGGAGGAAAGGAGAAAAGAAAGGAGGGAAGGCAGAGGAAAAGGAAGTAAGGGGGGAGGGAAGAAAAGGGTCCTTCAGCTAATCTTGTCCACACCATAGGTACCCCCAATAGAGAACTACACAATGATTGGCAGGACATATCGCTACTATGGACACGAGGCACCGATGTACCCCTTTGGCTATGGACTCTCATACACTGCCTTCCAGTACAGGGATTTGGTAGTGAGTGCTGACCAAGTGCCCATTTGTGGGAATCTTAGCATCTCTGCGGTGGTGGAGAACGTTGGATCCAGAGATGGTGAAGAGGTGAGGCAATTCTGTTGCTTGTCTGCATGCAAACACTGGTGGGAGCAGAGAGGGTGGGATAAAAGGGATGAGATGCTGCTTGAGATGGGTGAAAACTCAAGGAGGTCTAAAGGCTGTGAGGATGGAGAGTCAAGTTGAAGACCAGCGAGAGCTGAAAGCATCTCTACTGATGGACAAACGTGCCGTTGACCTCAAAACCCAACATCCTAAGGATATTTGTATGTATTTATCAGGCCCACCTATGGCGGAATAGAGGTTTTTAAGAAATGAGGAAGTTGCAGTGATATCTCACAGGGGCTAGGAATCCAAAATGGTGGTTGATTTTTAATCCTCACAGCTCCCATGTAGGAACGCATTGAACGAAGAACAGAAAACCAATTTTGACTTTGCTGAAATAGAGGGTTTTTTTGAGATCAGGTTGCAAAGCTGCAGAAACAGGATCAGATTAGAAGATAATATTACTACTAAATTATGAATAGTGATTTGCTATTACCAATAAAGAATACTTGTCCAGCTGATTTATATATATCAATATTTCTTCTTGATGTAGTGGATTTTGCTTCAAGAGCAGAATATTCATAGCAGCCTATTATTTGATAGAGAATCACAGTCAGGCAGGGATTAAAATGCAACTAACACTTCATGCAAATAATTGTTCTCTGAATCTTAGAAACTGCTGTTGATGTTTGTGCATTTCCACCACTGGCAAGATTCATAGAGTCCCCTTGGTTTGCTAGAAAGAGGAGGAGAGAAAGAAATGGAATCTGTTGGCTCATTGTACCATTCCAAATTGGGTCCATCCCATTCATTGGGTCAGCGTCTGGGGAAGGCTCTGACGAGAGCTCTGTGTTAGAGGCAGAGATGGGGCCAGAGCTGTATGCCAGTTATCAGCTGCCTTCAGAGTTGGATGTCAGTGGGGAGAAGAACAGCTGGAGCCTGTTCCGGATGCGTGCATGTGCAGAGCTGCCTGGAGAAGGGAACAGCTACGGGAGTAAAGGCACAGGTGGATGGTGAATGGCCTCTCCTATAGGGAATAAAGAGGAGCGAAAGGGGAGGGAAGTTTGCAAGAAACAATTAGTTCAATTCATTAGAGTGAAGATCTGTTCCTGATGAGGAGTCGACTTTGTGCTTTTTGGAAGCTTAGGTCAGAACAATGTACTCTCTGCTCGTGCAAGTAGAGTTTCACACATAGCTAAGGAACAAGGGCGGACTTGGGAGTAAAGGCCCCTCCCATAGGGAATAAAGAGGAGTGAAAGGGGAGGGGAATTTGAAGGAGACCATTAGACCATTCATTAAGGTGAAGATCTATTCCTGACTTCTTGCCAAGTAATTGCTACTACAGCATGGTGTTTGGAAGATATTGGCCTGGTAGCTCTCCAAGCCTGATAAAGGTCTGTAATTGTGAAATCTCATGAAAGACTGTTGGCCGGGACTTTGTTGGAGAGGAATTCCCTTTAATCTAAATAAAAGAGTTTTTATCGGGATGAGTCTGATTCAAGATCTTGGGAAGCCTAGATCAGAACACTTCTCTCCATCCTTGAAAAGGCTCCAAAAGTAGGAATATGCTTTGAAGGTGTGAAGAATCTGCTGATGTCTTCTCTCTTGATGACCTTCTCTTCACGTCTAACATTTCCCCCCCCCCCTCTGCAGGTGGTGCAGCTCTATCTCCACTGGGGACAAGCATCTGTGCCCATGCCCCGCTGGCAGCTGGTTGGTTTCCGCCGGTTGCCGATACGCCAGGGACAAGCTGCCAAGGTGGCCTTCCTATTATCTTTCAGCCAGAGAGCCGTATGGGATGGACAGTGGTGGTTGGAGCCTGGCACTTTCACCGTCTTTGTTGGTGGCCAGCAACCCTTCCAAGAAGTACGTCTTCCTTCAAATGTCCTCCAGACCGACTTTCATGTCTTTGGGGACTCCCGTAGTGCAAGCCAATGCTAGTCTCCCAAACAGGCCAGGATTGCTCAGGGAAATTGACCCAGTGGCTTGCTGAGCCAGAGTTTATCAAAAAAGAAGCTTTGCACCAAGGGTGAAATCCACTTACCTTCGCTACCAGTTCAGTAGCAATGTGAGCGCTCGTGTGAATCCTGCTTTCTAGCTAATCGTTGGGGAAAACCAATTTTCATTTTTTTTACTACCAGTTTGGGCAAACCGGTGGCATCTTTACTACTGGTTCAGGCGAACCGGTCCGAACCGGTAGCATTTCACCCCTGCTTTGCACTGAGTAAAAGCTTGTAATAGAAGCAGCCAATCTGATGTTTCTGAGAAGGTATGACTATTCAACTGGGAATGTAGCAGTTGTGTTTTTGTTGTCTCCAGTGACTGGATCACATTGGACAATGGGCAGCCTGGGAAGGGTTGCCCTGGAAAAATAAGATTGCCAAGAGAATAACAGAGCGCTTACAGAATAGTAATAAACTCCATTTTCAAGTGGTCTTGGTGGATGTTCTGATTTTGGCTGTGATTCAGGAAGAACCAGATGTTTCAAGACATTTGAAAGCTGGGCTTGGTTTGGCGGCACTGTTGAAATCTGGAGGGATGGAGCCCAAGTGATAGAGAGGACATTTTTTCCTCCATGGGGAACTGCTTAATTGGGAAGTGGGACAAAGTAGTACTTATTTCTAATTGAGACAAGGTAACACCCCAGTATTTGTGATGAATTCTCTCTATGAAGTGGAAGGTGGTGGGATGGACAAAAGTGAAATGGCAATTTTCCAGGAAGGAACGAGCACAATCCAAGGAGGGGTTACAGAGTAACAGAGTTGGAAGGGATCTTGGAGGTCTTCTAATCCAACCCCTGCTTAAGCACTCTGGAAAATTGGTTATCCAGTCTCTTTAAAACTTCTAACAATTGAACTATTGGAGTATGCTGGAGAGGACTCCTGTGAGTCCCTTGGACTGCAAGGCGATCCAACCAGTCAGTCCTGGAGAAGATCAACCCTGACGGCTTTTTAGAAGGCCAGATCCTGAAGATGAAACTCAAACAGTTTGGCCACCTAATGAGAAGGAAGGACTCCCTGGAGAAGAGCCTACTGCTGGGAAAGATTGAGGGCAAAAGAAGAAGGGGATGGAGTCACCGAAGTAGTCAGTGTGAGCTTAAATGGACTCCAGAGGATGGTACAGGACAGGAAGGCCTGGAGGAACGTTGTCCATGGGGTCACGATGGGTCGGACACAACTTCGCAACTAACAACAACAACAACAATGGAGCACCCACAACATCTAAAGGCAAGCCATTTCACTGGTTAATTGTTCTCACTCTCAAGAAACTTCTTAAGTTCTAGGTTGAATCTTCCCTTGATATGTTTCCATCTGTTACTTCTTGTCTTGTCTTCTGGTATTTTGGAGAATAAATCAACTCCCTTTTCTCTGTGACAGCCCCTCAAACATTGGAAGACTGCTGTCATGTCACCTTTAGGCTTTCTCTTCATTAGACTAAACATACCCAGTTCATCATATGTTTTAGCCTACAGACCCCTAATCACATATATGATTCTTTGTACCTTTTCTAGAGTCATAACATCTTTTTTGTGTCATGGTGACCAAAACTAGACTCAATATCTCAAGTCTGATTTTATCAAAGCAGTATAAAGCAGTACTAACACTTCACGTGACCTTGATACCATCCCTCTGATGTTGATGCAACCTAAGGCTGAGACAAGACAAGGCAAAACAGCCTGGATCTGGATTGGAGAAAGGAAGAGAATTAGATAGCCCGTCTCTAAATCTCCCAGGATATATTCCTTAGGTTAGGGTAGTATAGGTTTAGTCTGGCAAGATTCTGTCTGTATGATATGAGCAAATAAAGAACTGAACTTTGGCTGAATTGTTCTACGTCACTCTTGCACCAGTTCTGACATCAATCGATATGCTCCCTCCTTGGAAAACTGCTGCTTCACTCTAGTCCCATTGCATGATCCCAGAACAGTTGAAATGATCTAAAATGATCAGTATATTACATTAATATCCCATTTTCCTTCTGGAAGCTCAGCCCCTACAGAGAGCTATGGAGTCTGTTGCAGAAGCACTGGGGGGAAACAAATGATCTCACTTGTAACATGACAACATATCATGCTAATTGTTTGCACATGATGTCAAGCATCCGACATCCTGTTTTGGACCAGGTACATGTAGTGGGGTTATTCTCAGTTTAACCTCTACATTGGCTCCTAGACCTAGACAGAGTCTAGCTTAATTAAATCACCCACTGGTTGCATACATACAGCATACCCATGGTTAACTTAAATATGGTTTACACAGGCCAGCTTTCTAGAGAATGGAGCACACAATCCATTGGATAGCGATGGAGAATGAAATTGCCTAGCATAAAGGTAAAGGTAAAGATTCCCCTCGTACATATGTGCTAATTGCTCCCAACTCTAGGGGCAGTGCTCTTCTCTATTTCAAAGCCGAAGACCCAGCACTGTCCGTAGACGTCTCCATGGTCGTGTGGCTGACATGACTAAATACTGAAGGTGCACAGAACGCTGTTACCTTCCCACCAAAGGTGGACCCTATTTTTCTACTTGCATTTTTATATGCTTTCGAACTGCTAGGTTGGCAGAAGCTGGGACAAGTAACGGGAGCTCACTCCGTTATGTGGCGCAAGGGATTCAAACCGCTGAACTGTCGACCTTTCTGATCGACAAGCTCAGTGTCTTAGCCACTGAGCCACCGCATCCCTTTGGACAGAGGTAATTTTGCATTAATATTTTTTATATATTTTTTATCCAGAAATTTTATCCAGAAATTCTGGAGCCGTTCAAAATTTATAAATGGCCCCCAATCAAGTTCTGAAGTATCCCTGCAATGAGGCTGCATGGCCAGAAGGTGGTGCCCTGTTCATCCATCTTACCATTGTACTGTAATGGCTTTTAATGGTGGATGATAAAGTAACATCTCCTTTGAATTAAGCTTGACTTTTTGTGATTCATCTGGGTTGTTTTCCTGGCAAGTGGCGCTTTTCAGGAAGTTGTTTTGACTTCCCCATCTATTTCACAGCTCTGGGGTTTCTAGTCTTAACTAGATCCAGCTCTACTTAGCTTATAACAGTGGAGAACTATTCTCCACTGGGATGCCCAAGTCCCAGTCTGCATTATAAAATAATTATAAAATGTATTATAAAATAATCCATTACCAGTGGCGGTAATTGTTTGCTCAGGCATCCATTCCTCTGATTCACCTTCAGGTTCAGACTAAGCATCAGTAGTTATTCATTTTTATAGATGGCAATGTCTGTAGCTCAGGGCTGAACTGCACAGTTCTTGGTACTCTCTAAGCTTTGGTTGGTTCTTTGAAGGCGTTTTATTACCTAACTAAGTAACATCATCCTGGCATGGATGATGTTAGCTAGTTGGGCAATGAGATGTCTGCAAACAAACAACCAAGCTCAGGGAGCACGAAGGACTTCAGCGTTACTAATTTCTTAATAATCTGGACATTTGCTTCTTGTAGACAAATGTGATTTGTCACTATCATGCATCCTAAAGTACAAACCTCACTGAGTGCCTCCAGATTTGGAATGGGCAGGTCTTTTGATGGGAAAGTTGCACCATGGTGTGGAGCAAGCAGGGAATCTATTTGCAAGCCAAAAGAACAAGAAAGAAAGGTTGTGTTTTCTTGTTCATCTTTGAGATAAACAACATCTACATAGCATTTGAAAGAGAATGGAAAAGACCAAAACAAACAAATAAGCAAAAAGGCCTCCTCGCCAGCAATCAGCACTATATGAGCAAAGATTCACACCAAGATTTAACACTAGACCAGTGGTGGGTTTCAAAAATTGTTGGAACCTACTCTGTGGGTGTGGCCTCCTTTGTGGGAGTGGCTTGCCACCCATGTGACTGGATGGGAGT